ATCCCTATCCCTATCCCTATCCCTATCCCTATCCCTATCCCTATCCCATTCCCATCTCAACCAAATCCTCATTCCCAATCTCATCCCATCTCTTCCTATGCCATCCATCTCCCAATCCACATCGTGTCCCCACATCATCCCCAACCCAGTCCCTATTCCATTTCCATTTCCATCCTCATCTCATTCCCATCTTCATTCCATTCCCATGCCCATGCCCATCCCAGTCCCCGTCTCGCCTCCATCTCCATCCCATCCTCATTCTCATTCCCACCCCGTTTGGTTTCCCCAGACGGGAGCTCTCCCCTGCCAACACGACTGTATCAAAGTTCTAACGGAGATGATGCGATGTGATGTGATGTGATGTGATGGTGGTGCAGCACGGTGGCTGCGGGCACTGCGCTCCCGTTGGGACACCGGGTTGGAGTGCCCTGGGATGTCCCCGTGACATCCCCCGTAACGCTGACACACGGCGCGCAGCGCACTTTGCTCACACTTCCAGACCGTCCTCACCCCACGGGGTCCCTCCTCACCACGAGCAGGAGCAGCTCACTGCGGGACCGCGCTCGGCCCGTCTGCTCCCGAACGACCCCCCGGGGCACCGCTTTGGGGCAGGAAGGCAGAACCCTGCGGGGTGTCAGCAGCGAGTGGGAGAGCAGCAGAGCGGGAGCTGCCCGCACCCCCGGCTGGGGCCGGACCGGGGCAGCAGGATCCCAGCCATGCAAGTGTCACTCGCTGGCAGGTGGGGGCGGGACCCCTCCCGGGAACGGGGCCGGAGGGGCAGGAAAAATAGAGAAGAAAAACAAAACAGTTTTGAAAGCGCGCATTTCAGCTCCGATTCGCGTTTCTGTTTTGTAAACAGAGGCGCTCCGACGACGGGACGGGACGGACGGGCGAACCGCAGACGGGCAGGGCCAGCTCCGCTCCGGTGTTAGCGGGGCTCGGGGCCGGGCCGTGCCGGAGCTCCGCCCGGGAGCAGAGCGGGCAGCGGTCGGTCCGGGCACTGCAGCGCTCGGGCGGCAGCGCCGGGGGCTCCGCGCAGGGAGCGGGAGCGGCGGGGGACGGAGCGGAGCGGGCGGCGAGGGGGCGTGCCCCCATTTAATTCATTAAAATGTGTCGGAGAGCGTGGGAAAGGCGGCGGCTTTTCTTCCCAGCGCACGGACCCGGCCGAGGGCGCGCACGCGCGCTCCCGTAGAGAACGGCCGCAGATCGAGGCGGGCCGGGGGGGCATCTTCGTCCAGGGGGGCCGCAGGGGGGCGGTCACAGTGGGGGGGCCGCGGGGCGGTGGGCGCACCTCAGGGCACGGTGCCCGCGGGCGGAGCGGGTCCCGCCGTCCTGCCGCAGCCCACCCCGCGCGTTCACCCCGCTCGGTCCCGGCCCCGTCCCGCCGGCGGTGCTGCGGCGCTGCCGCCGTCCTGCCCCGAGCGCACGGCCCGTGCGTGACAGCGGGAAAACGCCGTCCGGGCGGACAGCCGCCGGATTTGACGCTCTCGGAGATGGAGAGCTACTCGCTGCTTCAGCCCTCGGCTGCGTGCGGGGCTCTCCGGCTGCGGCCCCGTGGAGCGGCTCTCTGCCGTTCCCGAGCTGGGTTTGAGGCCGCGTGTGTTGGGTGGGCTCGGGAGTGACGCAGCCGTGACTCTGCAGGACGTGCAGTGAGGAGTGATGCGAGAGGATGGGAGCGTGCTGGCCTGGAAGTCGTGCCCAGGTGTTGGCAGGCTGATGGAAAAGGAGCAGTCCCAGCGAGCAGATCCTCCGGGCCAAATGTCCCCCCGTGTGGCACTGACACCTCTCTGCTGCCCCTGGCCCACGGAGCACTGCACGGGGCCTGCAGCTCACAGCCAACCTCGGGCTCTCCAGGACTGGGCCCGTACCCAGAAACGTGCCGGATTGTTTGGAAATGGCGACTGAGAAACAGGGAGCTCACGTGGAGCATCCGTAGTTTGCGGGGAGCCTCGGCCCCCGGTCTGCTCTGTGCCCGCCGGCCCCATGTGAGCCACAAAGGCACGGGGAGCCGAGCCGCTTTCCTTGAGACGGTCAAGTATGCGGCACGGCTTCCGATCCAGATTGCACAAGGAAGGAAGTTTGCTCGGAAGGGGATGGGGATAAGGTGGGGGAGAAGGGAGGGAAGCACATTCCTGCCTGATGAGGAACAGTGTTGATAGATTCATTTGTAAACTAAAGCTGGCCCCGGTGCCAAACACCTTGTCCCCATCAAACTGCGAAGGATATGCAAGAAATACACAAGGCGAGGAGAGGAACTGCCCGATATCCGATGCGGTGTGTGAGTTCTCAGGGCTCCGCAGGGCAAACCGGAGCCACCCCAGAGCTGCACAGCAAAGCACGCAGTGCGTGGGGAGCCGGAGGTGCTGTGCTCCTGCTGCAGCAGGTGCAGAGTGAGCAGGATGTCCCAGGGAACAGCTGCACGCCACCCAGGAAACAGCTTTTTTTGCACCGTTTTCATTCAGCCCAGACTCTGCTCCCCCACCTTACCCCCATCCCTTCCCGAGCTCTCAGCTCAGGGTACAAAGGTGAAGCCACGTCGTGAGATTGAAGGGACCGGATCCATTCCCTTCCCCTCCCTGCAGCCCCCGCCGGCTGCTTTCCTTCTCCTCCGGCGCTGTCCTACGGCAGCGTCCCCCAGCAGCAGGCGGAGGCAGAGCGGCGCACTCATGTGGCATCGCGGGGACCGGGCGGCTCTGCGGGAGCTGCCCCCGCTGCCCTGCGAACGCACCATCAAACAGCCCCATAAAAGCACAAAAGGCCCCTTACTGCCCCGATAAACGTTAAATATTACTACAGCACAGGCAGCGAGGTAGGTTTGCTTATTTATTTGTTTTTTCAAAAGAAGCCAGATAGGGAAACAATATTGCAGGCTGATTAAAAAGCCGGCTTAATTCTCTTTGATCCGTCTCCACCATTGAAAACCGGACGATTTATTGCTTCCTGGATGCTGCTCAAGGCCGGCCCGGCTCGGCAGTTTGATGCTGACTGTGGCCCGGCCTGGGGACGACCTCACTGCACCTCCACGTCCTCTGCTCCGGGGCACAGCGGCACCACTCCACACCCACCCACATCGTGCCGTGCCCCCACGCTGCCCGTGGGCAAATGCAGTGCTGCAGAGCTGCCTGTGCTCAGCCCGTGGTGCCCGGCCTGGTGGAGCGGCTGCTGCACCACAACTGCTGCAAAAGTGACCCTGGGGTAAAAGAGAAGAGGAAATTCCGATTCCAGCTGAAGAGAGAATTAAGAAAAATGAGTTAGCACCTAGAAAGAGTGCAGGTCTGGAAAACCAGGAAATGAAACACAATTCCTTAAGGTTATGCTAAAAAAAAAAAAATAAATGCGGACAACAGAGTGGGAAGCTGTAAGGATCAATAGAAAAATGATGATGGCTAAGGGCAAGATCAGAAGAAGGCATTTTAATCCTATCAGGAGAGATAATCCCCAGCACACCACACGACTTGAGGTGGCACTGCCTGTGTGTGGACAGTCCTTTGTGGCAGTGTCCAGCAGCCAGCCTGCCTGGCACAGCACAGGGGAAGCCACCAAACCTCACGCAGGGCTGTGCAGGTGCCTGGGAGAACTGCTGCTAAAACAGAGCAGTTTCAGTTGGTGAGCTCCAGGTGAGAGCGGCCAGCAGCTCCCAGGTGGCCATGGGGCACGGCAGGGCTACAGGACCCTAGGGACACCTGGGGATACCTGGGGACAGGGAATTAAAGGAAACCAATGTGGCTGTGCAGGATGTGACCCCGTGGGGAGCACAGCATTACCCTCCTTCACAGCTGGGAGAAGAGGCAAAGTGGTGATG